GAAAGAGGACATGGTTGTGAGAAGACCTTCCCCCCACCCCATTCTGAGGGCAAGTAGACTCCTTGGGGGCACCGGGTGCCACAACAGAAAGCACTTCAAGGGTGGGCCATGGACTCTGCTGGTTGAAGAGTCAGCTGGTCTGTTTTTTAGTTTGGAGGAGTCCCTCCCCCAGGGGAGGAACCTCATCAATGCTCAGTGTGCGGTAAGAGTCTGAGGCACAGATCTGACTTTCATGTTCCTCAGAGGATCCATGGAAGGGTGACTCTTTCCTACAGCTGACATCCTCAAAACTGGGGGAAACAGTTCCTTTCCCAAATCCTATGAAGGAATATACAAGTTGAGGGTAACAGAGATCTACAGCCTCTCTTCTGTTGGCATGACCATAGTGTGACCAGCCAGGATCCTTAATTCACAAACATTTTTATCTGTCAAGCAGTTCTAGAGAGGCATTTCTGAACGCGAATCCCTCCCCGGTCCAGCCTGCTGTGAGCTCTTGGGAGGGTTTCGCCAGTTGGAAAGCAAAAGCATTCTGGCAGTGGTATTAATTCGGGTTGAAAGGAAGAGATGTCCCCTAACACAACAACTTGATAAGCCCTAAGGAGTCAACCCCCTCCCCCTCCCTCCCTAACAACACCCTGTGTTGTGGAAATGGACCAGTATCCATGTTGTTAACCTGTGTTGTTTCTTGGTTGCAAGAGGGGATATTTTGTGTGTTTTTAAATAGGTTTTTATTAAGTTTTTTAGATATGCAGGGTAAGGTAAGGGGTAGGGGGGGAAATAAGTAATAATTTTCTGCATGTAACTTTCCTCTACTCATTGTTTCATGTTATACACAAATAGGCTATGAGGTTTAAAAGTTCATGAAAGCTTCTTAATATTACAATATTTAGAAATTCATGTCTTTGTATTCTCTCTCTTATCCAATTATATAATGGAGTCCTTAGTCCAGCAAAGTCTTCTTCCATTTGCCCTTTTAACATCGAGGTCAACTTGTTCATTTCCGCACTTTCCATAATCGTCAGTTTTACGTCATGTTCAGAAGGCATTGATGGAAGTTTCCTTTAAGTTGCAGATGAAATTCTAGCTGCAGTTACTACTTGGATTATAAAGTATGTTTGATTTTTGTGGAAGTTTTCTGGTATACAGTTCAATAAAAACAATTCTGGTCAAAAAGGTACTGAGATCTGCAAAACTATTTGTATAAATGTATGTACCATAACCCAAAACTTGCACATTATATCACGTGTTCACCAGGTATGGTAAAACCTACCCACATGTTTTTTTACACTTCTAACAATTATTTGACATATTTTTATACATTTTAGCTAATCTGTCTGGTGTTAAATACGACCTGTAGAATATCTTATGAAGGTCCCGGTCACACGGGCAGGAAACTGCGGGGGGGAAGTGTGGCAGTTTGCCCCGGGGCAAACTAAGGCGCGGTTACCTGATCAGACCTCCCGTGGAGGTACTGTGGAGGTTCCGTGGGAAAGGAGAGGTGCCGATGGCAGGACAATCCCGGCGCGCAAAAACGAAGTGCGCGGTGCGGCAAACAGGAAGGTTTTTTTTGTTTACACCATGACTGCGCATGCTCCGTTGTGTGCTTTTGCGCATCCACAAAGACATGAAGAAAAAAAAAACTTTTTCGCCAGGGAACATGGGCGGGCGCCGGATGCCACCGGAAACGCGATCAGACGCCCGCCCTTGCCCCGCGGTTTCCGTAAACTAGTACCTCGGAGGTACTAGTTTTTTGCCGCGTGGTTTCGGCAGGAAGCCTCGTTTGAGCCACGGGAGTGCTACACTTCCCAGATGTGCCGGTGAGATCGCGCCTGGAAAACCCGCATGTCTTCCGTCTGACTCGCATGGCTAATGTTCCGTGTGACCGCAGCCACAGATTCTCTTTAAATGCCATGGATTTATTTTCACATTCACTTTCCACACTTCACTGTGTAAGATCAGCATTATAACCCAAATGTTGCATCCATTTCACCATACTCTTTGACCACTTCATCTTCCATTTTCATTAAAAATATATACATTTTCTGAATCAACTTGTCATTAGATGTACACAACAACTTCTCAAATACTTTGTTCAGAATAAAACCCAACTTTTTTATCTTTAGCACATCTAGATTCAGTGTGAGCCTTTATCCACCAAACCATAGTAATCCCTTGTTTTATTAATTCTTCCTTTGTTTTTAAAAGTCCTTTTGTCATGGCGCTCGGTGACCCTAGCCGGGAGTCCTCCTGTTGCCATGGTGCTGCCGCAATTCTACATCCTTCTGTCGCGTCGACGGGCGGGGCAGCTGGTTGATGGGACTTGGGGGTGTGCAGGGAGGGCGTGGGAGGACGGAGGTCACAAAAGGGATCAGGAGAAAAGGGGCCTCAGCCTAGGGGTCATTTGGGGAAGGTCACTTCACCTCCCAGCCCCCTCAGTCTCT